AATTCAGAGTAATCTCACAAACACACAAATGCAAGTACCAGTCTCTGGACAGGACATTCCTAGGATGACAAACAGGAAAGGGATCATACGTAGTCAATATCAGGCTTTTCTTGGTGGTGGGTGGAATGGGGAGCAGCTACAACACATCCACAAGCGCTTTCTGCCATTGACACACAAACATGATCCTCCTGCATAGTCTGAACAGTGATCATTCCCTGCTTTAAAGTTTGTAAATTCAGTTTCTATGTATTTTTATCATCCACTCATGATTTTCTAATTCAAGCATTTAAATTCCTTTCTCTTTTCAGCTGTTTAATGCTGAGACCCAAATAAGCCTTTTAAAAATTTTTTATATATTTTTCTATAAGCCATTTTAAAATTTCTGTCAGGAATAAAAAAGTATAAATACACTTACATGTAGGTTGGTAATAAGTAAAAGAAAGTAATGATACACTTTACTATATACTCTTATACCTTTTGAATTTTTGTGCTCCATGAAAGAGTCTGTTTAAAACTCTAAAATTTGAAGCCTGGTACGGTGGCACAATAAGCCTGTAATCCCAGAACTTGGGAGGCTGGGGCAGGAGGGTCACTGTAGAGGAATAGCCTGGGATACAAAGTAAGTTCAAGCCCAGCCTAAACTGTGTATGAAATCCTGTTTCAAAAAAAAACAAAAAAAGCTGGGGTTTAGCTCTGTGCTATAAGCGCCTGCCTGGCAAAATTTAAAAAGAAATTACACCTTCTTTTTGAAAGGGGAGTAGGGAAAAAAGAAACAGAAGCAAGCCCAGGAATTTAACTCAGCAGTGTTAAGTGCCAGCATGGCAAACATGAGGTCATGAGTTCGATCCTCAGTACAAAAAAAAAAAAAAGAAATAAGTGAAGTTACCTTACCTTTCACACTACACTTCTGCATTATTACTTTTTTTTTTTCCTTTTTCCTTTTTATCGGTACCAGGGATCTAACTCACGACTGCCTGCTTGCAAGGCATTATTACTTTTGAAATATTAAGAAACTACAGAAAACTTAGCTGGTCTGTGAAAAAGTTAAAATATAGAACTTCTTTAAAGCTCTGCTTTCCTAAAACAAAAAACAAAACAAAACACTGTTATCTCACCAGCAAGATTCATTAAAGCAATGACTTGATAACAGTTAGTGAACTACTTATTACTTGGCAAGAAGACCGTGAGGTTTACAAGTGTTACCGTGGTCACCTATATTTGAAATAGAGTATATTCCTGGAGCAGGGAGTACACAATGGAAGATCACAATGTACTTTTTGTTGTTAACATTATTATATCAGGGAAAATAAAACCTCTGGGCACGTGTTCCTATTAAGTTCCACTATGTTATTAGTATCTGTTCATAATTTGTAATCACTATTACTGCTGAACAGCTGAATCATTGCCACCAATCCAAATTATTGTAAAGTCTTAATCCCTAGTACATAAAACAGAGATTTGCAAATAGATTTGTTACAAATAAAGTTAAGGAGGGCATCGTGTGGTCCCTAAGAATTCAATATCCTTATAAAAGTGGGAAATTTGGAGTGGGATGTAGTTCAGTGACACAGTACTTGCCTAGCATGTATGAAGCCCTAGGTTCAATTCCCAGCACTAGACAGATGTATTTGGACAGAGATGGACTTTCACAGAGAATGTGAACAGAGCAAGGTAAAAACAGCCACGCACAAGCAAGGATAAAGGCCTGGAATAGGCTCCTCAGATTTTAGAGATATCAACACTGCCCATACCTTGATTTTGGACTTCTAGCCAGAATTATGAAATATTAAGTTTCTGTCATTTAAGCCAGAGGTTGTGGCAATTTATTATGGTAACTCTAGGAAATTAATAAAATCACACATAGAAACTACTTTAAATGATTAACCACTTTAAAAGATTGACAACAGACATTACTCTTTATAGTTTCTCTGAAAACTTAAAATCTTGTAAGAAAGTGTTTTCAGTGTCAAAACAGGTATTCTTAAATTTTGGTAGCAACAAATATTACAAAAATCAGGCAACCATTTTCAAGGATATACACAGACATACTAGTCCAATGTTTGCAAGTTTCTGAAACCTCAAATATATAATATATGCTTATATAAATATATTAATATATATTTTCATTAGTGACTTACCATGAATATCAGTCATCTGAAAATGGTTTCATGTTAAATATGTATTAAATACATTAATATATAATATTTATGTTTATATATTTTTTGTGACTTACCATGAAAAATCAATCATCTGAAAAGAGTTTAATTAGATTTTCAAAGTTGATTATTCGTTTTTCTTAGACCTACTCAGGTGAATATCTAAGGAGGGTTTTAGAAATTTGTGTTTTAAGATTCTGCAGATTTTTATAGTAATTTTCTTTTAATGACAGCTGAGTCAGGTCACCTCATGCTTTTTCAAACAAGTTAATTTTTTAATCTAAGTGTAACCTTTCTCCTCTCTACACATACTCAAACTTTTCATGTGGCTTTTAAAGGAGACCTAACCAACCATCTTGCTAACCCTAAGTTACACAATACTTTCCCTGTTCCTAGTTTCCTTACATCTCCATTAAGCATTTACCGAGCAAATCAGCAAGTCATGCAGTTAGGCACTGGTGACTGAGGTACGTAAACTATCTTTAGACATTAAGGATATGGACAATTGGAACACCAAAGGCTTTGCGTCACACAAGATCCATGCTGGCAATGGGGAGCTGAGTAAGTAGCCTTGATTTGGTTACGTGTGTGAAAAGCAGGGTTGGGAATCATGAAGAAAGATTCAAGGAAGTCAGTGTTTGAATTCAACATTTGGGGGGCAAATATGCACTGGGTAGTTAAACAAGGATGGGCCACTCCTTAGCCAGAGGAAGACACACATTCACAGAGGCATGCAATTAGGCCCTAGCTACCAAGTATGACTGACACATAAAGGCATTATTATATAGAGGTGTGGAGAAGATAAACTATAGAGAAATGTCAATAACTGTGAAAAGTCGAGACTTGGAAGCCTTTTGTGTCATGTTACAATGACCTGGTTTTTAGTATGATCACGTTTACATTTGAAGACACTAGTTACAGGTCTAGGGAGAAAGACTCAGGGAAAAGACAAGATCATGATGGCTTCTAATACTTTGTTGGCGATTAACATTAAACTGCAATTTTCTGTATGTTCTCCCACCTCTCCCGTCCTGTACTGCAGAGGTAGAAATGTCACTGCTCAGCAAGATGGGAAAATGGGATCAAGAACTTAAGACTCTGGTTATACAGACTAGAATTTATTTCTTTGCTTTTCTATTAGGTTCTTTACCTATAGTTACCTGAGTCGGGCAACAACTTTTTCCCCTATAAATATTCAACAAAATTTAAAACTCATTTATGTCACAGTAACATACCATTTACTTATATTTGGAAATACCAGGGCAAAAAAACCCCGAGCTTAGTGTCTAGGACTGACTTGCCAATCTTTCACTGTTGCCATTGGTACACTGTGAAATCACATTTGATTATGCCTTAGACATAAACTAGACCATTTTTATTTAATAACAAACTAACGCCCAATTTAATCAGGATTGCTATTTGTCCTTTCATTAACCAGAAATATCATCTGGTCTTTAGTGGAATGAGATTAAAATATGGTCTAAAAGGCATTAAATTATACTCAGTGATTTCACTTAGTGTATTTTATTACAATTGCACATCTCTGAAAGCCAGTGGATCACTGTCAACATTTCAGTTACCAGAGGTAATACAAAGAATTTTTACTGTAATAATTTCTAAAATCTTCCAACACTGCCTGAAGATTTTTTATCCCTACTTTAAGCATTAAGAAACTGAAGTTAAGTGAAACAACTATTAATAAGCATTATTCAAATATAACTGACTCTAAATCACATACACTTTATTTCTTGACCTCAGAGTATAATATAAAATACTGGTTGTTGAATGGAAGCCATTTACTTCCTACACAGGGGACACATTTGGTAATGTCCAAAGTCACAATTGTAGGAGGCAAAGGTGCTACTGATACCTGGTGGGTAGAAGTCAAAGATGCTAACCTCCCTAAAGTCATAGGACAGTTCCCTATGACAAAGAATTGCACACCCCAACACATGGTGCTGAGATTGAGAAACCCTAGTACAAACAAAATATTCCTCAACATGTCTTCTTACAGAAGAACTAATACTCCACCCTTTTTTGCAAATTAATATTCAAAGTCAATGGAAATATATTTAAAATATACCAAGATGTTATGGTTTGTGTTCATCTAAAAGTCTAAAAAAATCCTATCTTGGGCTGGGGACTTAGTTCAGTGGCACAGGCACCTGTTTGGCAAGTGCAAGGTTGTGAGTTCAATACTCAGCACAAAAAAAAATCCTATCTTAAAACTCAAAGTGATAGTATTAAAAGGTAGGGCCTTTGGAAAATGATCAAGTCATGGGGGGGTCCTTCCATCCACCTGAAAAGAATTACTGCCTCATAAAAGAGGCTTGAGCAAGCTCCTTCCCTTCCTCCACATTAAGAACACAGCAAGAGGTGGCATTTTAAGGACAGAGCAAGCCCTTACCAGACACTGAATCAGCAAGGGCCTGGACAATGGATTGCTCAGCCTCCAGGCAGTGAGCAGTAAATTCCTGCTATTTATAAATTACCTAGTACATGGTACTCTGTTAAAGGAGCAGGAAGCAGAAAAAGACAGAAATGTATATACTTAATACAAGTAGGCTTACTCATTTTTAATTCATCCCCAAAACTCTTGAGTTTGTATTATCAAAGCATGCAATAGCTGAACTATGGAAGTTTCAACCTCTAACACTAGGTAGGTGCACACAGGAGTTGGGGGGAATATATGTATATTGACATGTTTTAATTGATGTATAATTAGTACAATCTTTCGGGTCCAAAGGATGCACTGGGAGGAGCCTCTTTAATACAGAAAAGCAGGAATAAATAATTAAAATTTTAGTAGACTTGTTAAAAGGCACAATAAAGCCACACCACAAGGCAGAGAACCTCTTGATTTTATTTCAAAAGTACACAAGGTCACAAAACTAAGAGCAAGTTTTTGTTTTTTTTAAACAAATTTGTTCTTACAAATTTCAAAATCTGCACCATTGAACATGTAAGCCAGAAATTTTAAATACAAAACCTGAAACTGACACTGTCAATACTCTATTTTGTAAATGTGAAGTGTCAAAATATTTTTCTCAGTAGTGCAAGTGTATTTATCACTAAAATTCACAGGGATAACAATGAGTGAATCAGTGAATTGTGGTTTTAATACTTGCATAATTAACCAAGTTAACAGAAAACACAAAGCACATCTTTGATGGAAATATCAGTGTCTGTGATCAAAACTAAACCCAAGGCTGGGGATATGGCTCGGTAGCATAGTAATCTCCCTAGCAAGTGCAAGGTCATGAGTTCAATTCCCAGTATAACAAAACAAAACAAAACAAACAAACAAAAAAAAACTAAACCCATTGATATTCATTATATTCTTAAATTACAAAAATAGGATATTGTATAAAATTTGGTTTTAAGAGGCTGCAGTTAATATCTGTAAGATAAATGGTCAGCCTTCCAAAACAAAAACCACAATTCACAAATGTATTATTCTCCCTTGCTGCGTAATATTTATAAAAGGAGTTTGTGGTCCCTTATGGACTATTTTAGTGTTGAAGTAGGCAAACAAAGAATTCTATTGCAGAATATGTTGCCTTTATTGCTGGACTATCCAAAGGCATTTGAAATATTAAAACTTGCCCAGAACATTTACATTACTAAACACCGAAATATAATGAAGACATATGTACATATATATATAATATGTAATGTCACAAGCTACTGAAAAGTTCAAATTGTGCCAACATTTCCTATAAACTACTCCATATGACACATCAAGAGTCAAACACATAAAATAAGGACTTTTCTGTTCATACTAGAATAAGGCATCCAAACTCTAAACACTGTTGAAATGCAAATTAGAAAAAAACTATAAACATGCACATAACTTCAAATTTACATGCTGCATGCATACAGAAACAGATTGAGAACAGTTATTTTTATTAGCCATGTATTACATAATTTGGTAGCTAACTTCATGCAATGAATTCTTCTATTTAAAAAAGCTGTTTATTTGACCTTTCACTTAATCCAAAATTCTAAGACTTAATTGTAAATTTCTTATCTTTTTAATAAAAGTCAAATATTCCTTTATATCCATAATCTCTATGCACAATAATTTGGGTTTATCAACAAACATCCCCCTAAGACACACTATACTTGACTAATGTACTAAATCCTTGGCAAATAGTTCGAGTTTAAAAGGAATAATTTGTCCAAAAAACCTGATCAGTGTAATCAGTGAGAGTCTTTGGTAGGAGAGCTTTGCAACAGGAAAATATGAAGAAAAGCACTAAGAAAAACAATGCCTGTAAACTACTGCAAATTCAAAGCACAAAACTGTAATTCACAGTATCACTTCCTTCAAATTATCCTATGTAATTTTAAATGATGACACAGATTTCTCAGATATACAGTAGAATCAAACAGTTTTGCTTAGAGGAGTACTTTCCTTGACTATTATTACTGGCTCTCTCATTGAGATACTCTAGCAAGTTTTAATTAACTACTTAATTATTTGTCGTAGTAATTCTTGAACAAGTATTTACCCTCTGGTTCCTCTCACATTACCAGTGAGAATTATTTTATGAATCAAGTGAAATTTACAGTAAGAGTAACCGGAGACAAGCTTAAAACTATGTTCTATAATATCAATCTTATCCAAAAGGTCTGTTCTGTTTACCCAAGTTATTTTTAATAAGCTTAATTTTCAGAGTATAGCTGATTATGGATATAAACTGAAATACTTTCTGAAAGAGGCTGATTCACTTATCAAACCTTAAATAAATATGAAGTCTAAGGAAAGTAAAATTTTACGTATGTTCACTTTCTAGAATAACTCCTGCTTAAATCAATAACAAAATCAGAAACAGGACAGATCAGTTTTACTATTGAAGTTTGTGTTCTATTTTAATCTTGTAATATCTTTAAAATAGGCCAAACGTTTAGTATTCAAAAATAGCCACTGTTATAAAATTAGAAACAGAGTGTTAGGTATGTTAAAATGTCTAAATCCTTACGAATAATGGTCATTTAAGTTACATTTTAAAAAGGGGGACAGGAGAAGGCAAGATTGAAAGCATGAGGACAGAGCATGTCACAGTGATGTGTTTTTAGAAACAGTACCTTCACCTCTAAGCACCTTTCCAATAAGGTGATAGCTAGCTCATAGGCACCAGAAAGTCATACAGAAATTATTATCCAAAAAGGCACAGATGAAAATGTTAACACAAGTATAAAAAGTAATTTTATGTAAGGTTAAAAACCCACTTAAAAAATGCTTTCTAATGTAACACTGTACACTAATTCATTACACATTCAGCTTAGATTTACCATTAAAAAGTGTACATGACACTGCCTGTCAATGCTTGCCAGCATTAATTAATGTAGCATTTACCACCACAGCACCCAAAGAGATATCAGAAACCAACTCCCTACAAAAATCTAGGGAAATGGTTTTACAGCTAATCAAATAATTTATTACAAACCTTATTTACTATTAAAAAAAAACTGCTGGCTCATTCTACTATATCCACAGTCCCTCAAATCTTAAGGGAAATACAATAAATCCACTTTATTCTACTAAAACACATTTGGCAGATAGGAGTATTCTCTTTACACCTTTTTCTTTCTTTAAAGAATAAATCATTTCCACAAAACTAATACTCAAACTTTTCAAAGCTCACCCTGATTTGCTGGAACTACACAAAGACATGCTTGACTACAAAACAGCAACTGTACATCCTCCCATGTCTGGAATAAAGAATTGAGGGAGGACACGGACTTGTACAAAATGTATTTGATCACTGAGTCCATGATGAAAATATCCTCCAGGAACTGCATTCAAGAGGGTAAGTTTAGGCTTACATATTTTGAGAACATAAAATATGCAATACCATTCCCCCAAAAAGAAACTGAAGCAGGGGTGGAAAAAAAAACACACACAAATTTAGGATCAATAATTAGGAAATGCTCATCTATATTTATCAGATAATAACAACTGTAACTTTTTAGATAAATACAACCTAAAGTGGAAAGCCTAAAGTGTTTAGTTGGGGGCTGTGAATGCAACATCCTGGATCTAGCTGGCCCTCTCTGCAGACCAAGGCCTCAAGGCACCAGATCACCTGTCAAGTAGCTCTATCTCCACTGTTGCACCTATGGTGTCATCTATACATATAGCTGATATAAATGTTCTAATTGAATCTAACAAATGCTCCTTTAGCATATGAAAGTCTATGTCCTGTTGGTGTTTAAAGAAATTCGGGTCTCAAGAAATCATTTCATAGTTTATGATTGACTTGGAAGTAAAACAAGTCATTTCTACAACATTGTACTGTTTTGTTATTAAACATATTCTAAACACAATTAGAGTTTTTAAAGAGGCTAAAAACACAAGTACAAATATATTGAAGTATTTTTGCTATGTATGTTTCTTTACTGATCTTAGGGACACTGTTGGATCACAAATAAATGAGACGCATATCTTTAAAATAATGAAATTATAAAGTACAACTTTCAGATGATTCAAGTAACCAACTTGGCTTGTGTGTAAATTCACAGAGCTCCTCACTTGTGATTCCCTATACAAAGTGCTACATATAACTCAGATAAATTAACCTTTAAAATCAGGCTCTTAAAGATGGTGAAGGTCATAAACTATCTCTATAAATACTTTACTGTTTCAAGATAACCAAATAAAACTTTGTGGAGCATAATTTTTAACAGTTTCTGGTTAAGTTTTCATGTATTTTGAGGCCATTAACAAGATTAAACCTGAATAAATTTTCATATATCAACAGAAGAAAAGAAACACAAAGAGCAAAGAAGAAAATTACAGAGGTTCTATACTATAGACCCATCCTTGCTTTGTGCTGGAATCATCACAGGAACCGCTCCCATTCGGCTTAGATTAGGGGCAGCTACCTTAGCGGGTGGGAGAGTTGGGCTCTGGGGAGCACGATCAAAGTCTTCACTTGGAACTTGGTTATACTGAGTCTTAGAATAGCCCTCCATGTTGGAAGGAGACATGGATCCCAGAGATGAATGGTTGCTGCCAATGTAACTCCTGGCAGTGGATGTCCGGCTCTTTGGAGGGGGAACGTCTTCTCTGGAAAACAAAGTCCCCAGTGCAAGAAAGTTAAAAGACCAATTTCTAAAAACTTAAAATTATGTAAGCTATGACTCAAGACTAAGGGTCTTATTTAAGTATGTATTTCATACTTACTCAAGGTAAGTGCCACACACGCACAAAAAAAGAGGCAAGCTCATGTCATTAACTGTGTATTTGTTCCCAATGCATCATTCTGATTAAAAAGAATACCATATAAGTGCAAGAATGTACCACCTCATATATAATAAAGTATGTAATTTACACAGATGTAAGCTTTATAATGAACAAACCTCATAGTTTTACATTCTAGCATCAACACAAACAGTATCTAATTACGATCATTTAACACCTTCTGGTTGATAAAAGGATTAGCACCATGAAATACTGGCATTTTACTATGAAAGTTATCTAAGACATTAGCTGAAAACCTTGCATTTAAGTTTTCAAAACTGGGAATGTAGCACAGGAATGATCATATCAAGCAGTGAGAAAGAATATATATCTGCATGACCTTCAGGGCATTTTAAAAATGTAAGTGCTCAAATCCCACACAGGCCTACAAAGACTCCAATTCTAGGGTACTAAACTATTTAGTCATGTGTCGTATGTTTTAAAGTTCTGTAATCCAGGGTGCAACTCTAGTTAAGATCTACTAGTTTAGAATATTTAAGAAAATAAACTTATACTATGAATCTATCTGTAAATTTTTCAATGACAACTTGATACAACTAGTTTTTGTTTTTAAACCTCAATAGCTGCTATAATTTTTGAGTAATGAGTTAACCATTTTGTAGTTCTCAAAATGGGATGCAAAAAAATTGGAGAGAGCACGATAAATAATGAGCAGACATTATGTTTCAAAATAAATGGTTTGAAATGTGTTGCTGGCAGGAGGCAAAGTTTCTGTCCAGTTCTCACAGGAGAATAGCACACTTCAGATGCTTACCAAAACTAGTGCTTTAGAAACAGCATGATACACCTGTCACTAAATTACCTTATGTCATGGTGCACTTCCTTTTCATACTTTTCTTCTCTGCGCTTTTTACGACAGCAAAAGATGATGAGACCAATGATCACAAGAGCAAGCAAAGTTCCTATAACAGCTCCTGCAATTGTTCCAGCTTTATTCGAAGCTAGAATAAGATGTTAATAAAAATCATTTTTAAAAATTTATAATACTGAAGACAGGATATACAGTATAATAACAGACTGATTTTGTTGCATATATTAACTTTGGGGAGGGTATCGACTTCATGACCTCACTCTTGCCAGACAGGTGCTTAGGCCACTAGCTAAATCCCCAGCCTGCACATAGTAACTTTAATAGCTAACTAGCTTTTTTGTGATACACTGGAAAATTTATAAAAAAGTGTCCTTTGTGAACTGAATATTTACAGCACAAAAATGATACAGCACATGAAAAGTATTTAATATTCAAAGCTATCTTGGTTAGCATACAAGAGTGTTCTAAGTCGCTCATACTTAAAATATCTAAATAGCGTACAAAAGTTGATTGACAACTTGCTATTTTTTCTTAATAGTTCTTTAAGAACTAATACATACAATTTCTTACTTCTTAATAAAATACAATTATTTTTTCCTGTACTAGAAAAGGTAACAACTATGCCATAGAGTGTTCTGATCAAAGTTACCACCCCACTGCCTTCAACACACCCTTGCTGACAAAATTAAGAGGCTGTAAGATGGTAACAGGGGGGAAAAAAAAAAACCCACCAAAGAAGACACTTACGGGGAACAACATCCAGACTCAGCAGGCACTGATCAGAGCCCACTCTGTTTTGCACTGTACAGCTGTATGTCCCAGAGTATTCAGAAGTAGCATTTCTCACAGTTATAACAGGTGAAGTCATTTCTGTGGGAGAGGAAAGAAAAGCAAATATTAATGTATTACTCTCAGTTTTTAATAAAATTAAACTACCGAATTTGACAATCCAATTAAAAGACAAGGCTGGATGCAAACAAACTGCTGTGGAGTCCATGCATATCTCCAGAATTAACAGTCATGCCTGCAATGCCTACAAATCAAGGCAAAAAAACCCAAAAACCAAAAAACACCATAATCCTTCAGCCATACAGCCTCAGCTAAAAGCAAGGGTATGGTCCACTGTAGCAGCTTCAAGCTCATTTTGGGCTACATTCTAATTATAAATAGTAGTTCATTCCATAAAGGCTTTTTCATGCAGCAGAAAAATTTGCAAGACCTATTTTATCCCCTACATAGAAACATTCAAAAGAAAATCAGAAGAGATAATCCAGTTTGGCCTTTAGCTAAAGAAAAGAGGCAAAGAGAAACTTACTGAAGACCAGGGCGGGTGGGTAGAAAGAGGTAGAGCATAACAATCAGTTTGAACTAACAGGTCAATTATAAGAAACACATAAATGCTCAGATTTAGGCAACTTGTTTTGTAACTGCACTTTGCATCATACAGGTTTCTCCCCTCCTCTCTGATTTACAAAGCAGCCTTGAGTGGAACACTATAGCATCAACATGAATCTAGCTGAAACACCCAAGATCCTAATACTCAGAATAGCCACTAATTTGTCATTATACATACTTCCAACCAAATAAAAATAAAATGTGGAGAAACTAATATTCTAAAAGATGAAATTATTATAGAAACATTTCTTCATCTACATGACACTAAACTGTCATAAATGCAAATAACTCCCATGGAAACCTTGATCTCCATGTATAGAGAGAGAATTGGGAATTAAAAATATGTAACATAAATACACAAGCCCTACTAGATCTAAGACCAAATCAGTGGCACATGGTCCAATTTGTATCATTAGCAGTTACCTGCTAACCATGGGGTAGGCATTCTCTGGGAGTCAGACAATTTTTGCCATTCATATCGCAACGGAAGTGAACCTTCTCTTGGTTCACATTTTATTTTAAAGTCATTTCCAATTTCTTCTGATCCATCAACGAAACATCTTGTACCTGATGGCTTAACTGAAAAAACAAAATAAATTCAACTTCATAAAAAATGAATTTTATTTTTATAATAAGTTACTTAAACACACAGCATGGTGCATAACCAATGATAACTGACTCATTATCAGCTGGTCCTGGGTTCAGAATTAACAAAAGACAGATCACAACAGGTTGTCACATGAGTTTACTCAGCTTGTCAAACATAAAACAAGAACAAGCTCAGGCAAGCAGCCACGGCATAAGGAGGTTGGCAGCATCTCAGGCACAGCTCTGTGCCCTCCATTCCATGGGCATATATGAAAAAAGCGAGGATGAAGCGAGCTGGGAGACTTGACACTCAAGGAAGCGCCCCCTCCACTCCTTACCTATTCTCCATACTGGAAATGTGGTCTTCTATGAGTATTTGCCAAGTCACACTGACAATCAGGATTTATAATCAAAAATGCTGATAACAGGGACAATTCACTTAGTGCAGCAAGAACCATTTATCATTCATATGTATGCTAACTCAGTTCCACTGAGACAACAGTGTTATTAAAAAATATATTTCTTAGGCTGTTTTCTACAACTCAGGCTGTTTTCTACAATTCTCTGAGTAACTGTTTAGTAGCTACTAAGCTTCATTACTCACAACTTATCACCACTATGGTGTTGCATACCTTTGACTGAACTTCACTAAGACATTCATATACTAAAATTACCAGTTAATCATGTGGGTTGATCACTTTCAACAAATATGTACACACAGCAATCACTTGGTACCCACATGGGGAGATCAGTTCTAGGACCCTCTGTAGACACCAAAATACCAGATGCTTAAATGCCCTAGAGATGCTAAGGCACCTCTAGACTACCTGTAGTACCTAATATAAAGTAAATGCTACATGCGCAGCAATGATAATGTACAATTAGAGAAAAGTATTTTTAAAGTCTATACATGTTCACTACAGACATACTTTGTTCTCTCATTACTTTTGATTCATAGTTGGCGTAGTCTGAGGATGCAGAACCCCAGGATACAGAAGGCTGACTACATCCATCAGTCCAGACCTTTCCAAAGAAAGGTTCCCCCATGCTAGCTGCAGTCAATCTCTTGTCAAACTCTTGCGTTCTCTTTCTGCAGCATACAAATGAAAATACCATACGGCATGTACTTGTTTCACTTCTTTCATTCTGGATGTTTTTGAAATTGATCCATGTTGTTGTACCCATTGGGAATCATTCTCTGTTACTGCAGGTTAACAGTTCACTAATGAATAAGTATAACATTTTCACTTATTCATGCCCCCTACTGAAAACTGTTTGCTGTCCTGGGGATACTATTATAACCTAATCAGCCAAACTGACCAGAAGTAAGTATGCAGCCTGTCAAAATCAGATTAACCTTGGAAGGCACTATGAGGAGTCATGGAATGCTACCAGCAGGAGAAGAGAGGACACTGGGGAAACTCTCGAGAAAGCAGAGGACAACTCTCAACTGGCTGATTCTGAGGAGAGATAAGAAGTGGGCATTAAGTGCGGAGTGGACACTATCTTAAGTGTTCAAATAAAGTAGGTCTGGGGGTAACATTGGGAAAATTGTAATAGTTTTTTACTGCTGTTCTACAACCTTGAGAGAAATGTTTACGGTATATTGTGTAGTCGGCTTTTACTTTTTTTGAAGCTAATTTTCATCTTTCAGTCCTGATGAGTTTTTATTCCTTCACCACTATGAATAAAGGTTTGAGTTTACAAATGTGCACTGTTATAAACACTACTGCTTGAACACTTAAGAAATATTGTTATACATTTTCCTTTTTCCATTTTCCTGCTGGGTCATATGTAGATATATGCTCAACTCTTTAAGACAATGTTAAAGTGTTTCCCAAAGCTGGTCAGCAAGATTTGTCAGACCCAGTGGAGTACCCTGCTACTAAGGTTGTTAATCATAATCTCACAACTTCAAAATTTCTTAATATTCCTTAACAAATTTATTTCTTCCCTTCATCTGTTACTACTAGAATTGTTTTAAAAAAGAGATCAATAGATGCATTTAGCTGCATTACTGATTTTTCTAAAAAAAAAACCAAAACCAAAAACTGTTTCTTTTCCAGGTTGAACCAATTACCCTAGAGACTATATCAACTGAATTTTGGGTAAGTAAATTTGGCAAATGAGATTAAAACAATGCTATTTACATACAAGCAGCAAGTACTCATTAATAGTCTAATCCTAATTCTAGTTCTTACTAAAAACATCTCTTTTTCTTATCCCAAACATATCCAATAATGAGCAATTATTGAAAGCTGTGGCTTACAAACTCAAGGGTCCTGCTGACTTTAAGATTTCAATGTACTCTTATCCACAAAAGAAAGTTTATCACCCTAGTTTTTAACATCATTTAGGAACAGCCCAACTACTTTCTAGTGAGCGAGAAAGTGTGAATCTTTCACATGCCCACTCCAAGCATTATACCACAAGGAACATTAATTCTTAACCCATGACATTCTTGCTGACCATAAGGTTGGTTTTCAAAATACCTTTGGTGGGCATCCTCCTTAGAACTTTTGCTTCCATGAACATCAGGAAAGCCAGCAATTCTTCTCTGACAAACTATATGAGACCATCAAGCTATACTTGACTACTGCATTCCACCAACTTCATAATGCTGTGTACTTTAATAGTATCATATGTATGTTAGTAGTACTCCAGTTCACAATTCTTTCCACAATTCTCATTGCAAACCACACTGGATGAAAATGAATCAAATTCAAGGTTCAATGTTGACCTTATAGTGAAATTTGATTTGGTGTTCATAGAATTCAGTTTATGACCACAATTGTGGAAAGTTCATGAGTCAAGGTACCACTATACATCATCATCCTTCCATGTTAGTGGCTACCTTATAAGTCTCTAGGAAATACATTCTAAACCCCTGTATGGCACAAGATATACTTCTATTTGGTTCAAAAACTAACCACTTGTAATCCCAGCAGTCTGGGTGGGTGATACAGGATTATAAATTCAGTTCAAACCAGGCAATTTAGTGCCTATCTCACAATAATTTTTTTAAAGAAAGCTTGGGGTATGACACAATGCAAAAGCCCAGGGTTCAATCCTCAGAACTGCAAAAATACACTAGCATCACTCTTAGGCCTAACAAAAGCCATCAATAAATGCTAAAACCAAAAAAAAAAAAAAAAAAAAAAAAAAGCGGGGGGAGACAGGATACCTGCAGCCTCAATGTAGATGCCTCAAGGTTTTTTTAATTTCAGAGAGGAAAAGAGTAATTTTTTGGTGGAGAGGCTCATCAGATAAAAACTTAAACCAATTGATCATGATTAAAATAAGATGACATCAGGTATCTCTTGATATGATGGGAATCGCTATGATGGGAGGATCTTACAGAGACTTTAATTAAGTGCAATGTGGAATTTAGACTCCATGCGAGAAAAAACTGTGGTATTAAACTGTGACATTCAAATTTGGCTTATATTGTAATTAACAGTATTATGCCAATGTTAATTTCTTGATTTTGATAACCACTATGATTTTGTTAACATTGGGGAAAACTCCTAGTATTTTCAAAATTTTCAATTTGTGCTAGCAAAAAAAAAAAAAAAAAAGGAGGGGGGATTAAGAAGTGTTATGTACGGGGCTGGGGATTTAGCTCAGCGGCATAAGCGCCTGCCTTGCAAGCAGGCAGTCGTGAGTTCGATCCCTGGTACCAATAAAAACGAAAAAGACAAAAAAAAAAAAAAGAAGTGTTATGTACATGTTATCAACTCCAATGAATGTAATCGATATGCACTACAAACATATACTAATAAAATTTTTAAAATAATTTTCTACAAAACTAAAAATGATTTCAAAATTAAACTGAGTATGTGGAAGCAGAAGCCCTGTCCTGTTATCAGTGGCTTGCAAATCCTCTAGGACATCTAGGGTCAGAGTTGAGTGAACCACTATCCCAGCTATTGCCACTGTGCCTGGCAGCATGCTACTGTCTGAGTGCACTATATACACCCAGAAAACTATCGGTTACACATGCTGTACTCTTTCCAACCAACTCTGTAATCCAAAAGGTCTCAATAATAGACCCTGTCAGACTCCAGCAGAGGGCACTGTTGATAGGAAGCCACAATACTACCTATTAATTCCTTTGTTATCACTACCCACTTCAGCTTCTTTATTGAGCTGTAACCATGTGAACCTGGTGTTCTGAAAGAGCAGGGCAGGCTCTAACGATGCTGTCCTTCACATCCAGTCAACTGTGTCATCTGGGTTTGTGACCACACAGCACCCAGAATGAATGGAATGCACTTTCATTAACCTATGAGTGCCATGTTGGGAACTCCTTCAGAATGGAAGTATCAGGCAAAGAAGTGCTCCCAGTGGACTATGACTTAGTTGGGTCACTGGAGGGCACTTCATTTAACCTTTCCCCACAATACTCAGGAGAATTTACAGAGAAAGCTGTTAGATAAGCTTCCTTCCAATTCTCACTTTTAAGGAAAACAGTTCTAGAGGTTTCTCCAGCAGCTGTCATGACTCATCTGAAAACACAGAGGGAAGTTCTTCTGTGGCTTTGTGACAGTCTCATTAGATCAGATTATTAGTCATCCTTACTTCCCTTTAGCTGTGACTTCCTTCTTCCTTCTCATACCCCTGTTTTACCTCTTCTCACCCTCCCAGGCTTGAATTCAAGGCCTACCTGACCACAGTTAATCCTTCACAGAGCTTAAAAGGGGGGGGACTGGGTCAGGGTTTCCTCCTTGTCCACCCTAAGGATCAGATGCTGGACTAGAGGTTTAATATAAAAGACTCATTCCTGCTACAGTTAGATAGATATCTTAACTATTTGAGAACAATCAAACACACTACAAATTTAATTTTGAAAATTCCAACTCTAAGAAACAAAAGTTTACCTTACATCAATGTTGCTCTATAATATAGTATGTGATCACTCCTCCTGTTGCTAACTGGTTAATAGAAATAAAAATAACTTACCAAGGACAGTCAGCAAGACCTTTTTATTTGCAACACCAGGAGCTTTTTTCACTTTGCACTGGTATGTGCCAATATCCGATAACTGTAAATTTGTTACATTTATTGATGCATCACCAGATTTGAGGTCATTACTCGTAAAGTGTACTCGTCCTTTGAGAGCTTCATGGTAGTTATCATAAATTTTGTCTCCAGAATATAAAATAATCTAAAAGAAAACCAAACAGTAACAAAAAATGACTCATTAAATGAACTATAGATACATCAATAGTATAGAATATAAAAACTGAAACAACAGAACAATGTATGATGAGAAAACCTACAACCATCCAAGAGACAGAATAAGAAAACAGAAAGAGACCAGTGAGATTCTTGAGTTTATTCCCATGCTCCAATTTTAAATGGGGAAACCAAGATCCAACATAAAATACATAACATAGTTCCATAATAGGAGATTTGTAAGACTCACAGGATACAGATTTGTTTATTCCAATTCACTCCACTTTCCAAGTGCCTCCACGACTGCAGTGAATGAATTAAATGTACAAAATCAAAAATATATCACCTCCTTTCTCTCTAAAAAGGCTTATCAAAATTTACCCGTGTGATCCAAAGACAACGTTATTTTTACCTTACTACTACTTAGAAGACACCTGAGGGTTCTAGTGTATAAAATCTTGTACAGAGTTAGGAAATGAGTTTTCAAGATACATATGTTCAGGTTAGCGAGAGCTTTCAATGAACCTTCTGTGATAAAGCAAAGCCCATTTCATATTCCACTGAGTTTTCTGAACCATATATATGCTTTGATGGCAGTGATCAAAGACTAGATTTAGGGGAAAAAAAGTCTGTGTTAAGTTTGGTTTGGAGGAAAACAGTAGTCATCTCTAACAGGCTCAAAAATAACATTCATAAATTTTCACATTTGCTATTAAAATCCCATGTTCTGTTCACATAAGATTCAACCAAGGGACAGAAAGTGATTCAAAACCCAAAGAATAATCAAGAAAATGCCTGTAGTCTATACCATGCGAATAATTTTGTTATTTAAGTCTGCAAAGCAGCCTGTCAGTCCACAGCTGGCTCACTCAAGTAAGTATGAGCCATGTTTATCTGCTCCACTTCTCACCACACCCACTTGTCAACAGCACTACTGAACTCCACAACCAAGCCTGCCCTAGCTTCCTATTTACCCATTTGTTGTAAAAGCCATAAAGTCATCATTTTGCTTTTAATAGTTCATTTTGCCACACTATATACCTCAGGAGTCTTCAGCACTTTCCCATGAAAACTACTAGGCAAATCTATACTTCTCTGATTCCCCTTTACATCCCTGCAAGGACGATGGCACTGGGCAAAGGGAACACTGAGCAGGCATCTCAGCAAAGATGCAAGCCAGAGCTGCTGGCCACAGTAACAACATCACTCAAGAGCTAAATACCTGTGCAGTATTTTATTGAATTCTAACAACTCTGAGGTGGGATAAGTTTATACCTATTTTATAGGAGGAAACAAGTTTATGGGACATGGGGGAGCATAAAGGACAGTACAGTGCAAAGGACTATAAATGTGAAATTACAGAGAACTACGTTTGAATTTCAACTTCTATCTACTGCCAGCTGCGTGACCCTGGTCTTGTTTCTTCCTCTTCAAATGTATATTAATTTTCACCTTACAGTGTCTTTTAAGGCTGCAAAATACAGTCGTGCACCATATAACAATGCTTCAGTCAACCAAGGAACCTGTTGTATACAATGATGGTCCCATAGGATTATTTCATAGTCATTGTTAAGTTTGTGTCGTTATACTCTACAGTCACACCGTGGCAGATACACCTAATGATTCACTCCGCAGAATATATTCCCAATCTTCAGGATCTCTGCAGGCCAATCCAATTCCTCATCCTTAACCATTGTGTCTATCATTGTAACGTCTTCAGATAACATAGAAAGTAGCTAGAATTCTTTGTTAGCATCCTCTTCTTTATCGATTTCTCCCCAATATCCCACTTGTCTGATTTTACTGTACAATGGTTTGAGGTTAGGTTTTAACAGATAAATAAGACATTCATGGTTTCAAAGTTATTTCACAACTCCTGTTGACAGCAAGATTGGGCCTCCCACTCAAGCAGGAAGACAGGGGTCCTCTTTCCATTAACAGACATACTATAATGGCTCAGGGCACGCTGTGCTTCTTGGTCTCTATCTGCACTTGCTCAAGGGCTTCACTCATCTCATGTACCTCAGACAGAGCACTGACGACCCATGTTCTCCTATCTTAACCATGCCTCGGAAGCCTGGCATCCAGCAGGACAGACACTGCACTGGCAAAATCAAGTGCACGACCTCAGTGAGACACCTGCATTCAGGGTGCCAGCTCCCCAGAGAGAGAAAGGACACGATGGAGAGAGAACTGGTATGGAGTGAGGAACCAGGAAGAGTCAGGCTCAATTTATTTTGCTTACAAGACAGAAGGAAGTTTCAGTGGCAGAATCGGGCCAGAGGTTAGAGTCTCTGACAGAGAGGCCTTAGCTTCTGACAACTTAGGAATCACCTTATTACTTCCTTCACAAATATATGGCAGGCAGTTTGACTGTGTTTGCCAAAAATATTGTTATCTAACTGTACTAATTCAGTCATTACACCGAATGATCTTATTTTCAGCTTTTAATTAAATCCTTCTTTTACACAGGCAATAAGTAAGAACATAGTTTCTTTTCCTAAATACATACATCACAAGTGTCTGAACGTGTATTCATTCCCTAGTCTAACATAATTTATGAATGCAGATTTTTTTAATAAGGACATTTTAAATAAAGTGAAATATTTAAAAGACAAAGTATGATATATATATTTGGAGGTGAAAATATTCAACAATTTTTCCTTTTTGTAGTATTTTTAGCTTTCCAAGTTTTCTACACTAGGCTGTTACTACTTTGGTTAGAAAAAATACTGTAACAATACTTTGATATTTTCAAAATTTTATAATTCAAGTATTTCAGACTTTTTTTTCTATACAGACTTAACCTTAAGAAATTCATCATACAGGATGTGACTTGAACTAATAGCAGATTCTGTAATAACAATATAAATCTGCTTTATACTGTGTTACGTCTCATGGCCCTTCTACTGGTATCAGAGTTCTCAAGTAAATCCTAGAATTTGCTTTTCTCAAATGTTTAACACAAGGTAGTTTCCTCACCGTCCCCAACACACTATACACGCTGCTGACTCAAGGTCAAGCCCGCTCCAGAGCCTGCCCACTATTCTCTACCTTCTAAACTATACAAATCCAGAATTTTGGAATTACCAGAAAGTTCCTTCATAAAAGCTTTCTGCAAAAAACTATATAGACCTTTTCTTCTATAATTTCAGGTCATCAAAAGGTGACGTCACTTTCCCCCAGCATGGTCACGTTCCTCACATAGATCAAGGCTGAGTTGTCAGGGCTCTCTTCCTGGCTTACACACCCCATCTACATGATGCACACATGAGGACAGTTGTACAAAAGTCTGCTCAGAAAGCAAGCTCTTAAACTCACCACTTGATCCAATTGCTGATTATCAGCTGGCGACAGCAGCCATTCAATGTCCAGTGGTCCCTGGTCATCAGGATCAATAGTAAATTTGCATGGAAGATAGGCAGTTTCCCCCTTGGCTTTTTCAATCGTCATCTGATCAGGAGGAGTGATACTCAAACTTCTAGTGAGATCTGTAGAAAGAAACACGTAAATGAAACTAAGCGTCTGCTATTACTTGAATAAGAGCAACTGGGCCGTGTAGACACTCTGGGAAGCAAAATGAAGTGGGGGACACAGGATGGGTTTTGGGAATGGAGCTCACACTCAGTAGTGCCTTTGTAAAAATGAAATGACTCTATTAGTACTACCTGGTTTTGTACAGAACACCCTTTAAGAACATGTATTGGTTACTTTTCTTTCTCATTGCTGGGAAAAAATACCCAACACTCAAAGTTAAATAAGGAAAGGTGCAATTGGTGGGGGTTTCAGTCCATAACCAGCTGGCTCCAAGGCAAGGTGGCATAGTAAGGGGTAACAGTTTAAAGTGGCAGAAGATAGCAAAACCAACAAGAGCAAAAAGGGTGGAGCAAGCCTCTTCTCCTCCCTTGGCTGTGAGCGGGCCACACCTCTCACTCCAGGCAGGTGCAGATTCACTCCATCTTCCTGCCCTCCTCTTGCACAGGCTCAGAATGTTTACAAAGTGAGGCCACTGGCCCTGTGATGAGTCACTTAGTTAAACTTCTAAACTTCAATCACTTTTCTGCCTTTTGACTAAGAACAAGAGTAAACTTCTAAACTTCTCAAGTTGTCACAATGTGTCAACCATTACAAAACACCATAAGATTCCCAACATAATATCTTTATATCTAAATTTCTACTGGTAAGAGGGTTTTTATACCCTAGCATTTGGTTAAAACTGGGGTTAGCTAGATTCTCTGAAAGATCAGTAATGTCACCAATCCAAGGCTATACTAATTTATGTTAATCACATTGCCATGCATACTGAGAAGTCATTGTTCTTAGTGCGCACGCAGATTTAATACATTTTGACACACTTTCTGTGAAGTATTTAATTCTAAAGTTCTATTACACTTAATGCTATAACTTGTCTTGAATGCTTAAACATTTCTAAGCAAAAATTTTGATCAATACAAAAAAGAAATGATTTATAGTCATGCTCTATACAACAATGTTTCAGCTAAAGAAATTTCCTGCCAGTGGCTCTATACGATTAAAATGGAGCTGAAATAATCTCTAATGCACAATATTTTTACTGAATCTTTTTTATGTTGAGGTATTTTTAAGCATACAAACACCACTGTATTACAATTCCTACAGCAATCCAGTAAAGTGCCAGGCTGTAGGGGTTTGTAGTCCAACAGCAATAGGCCACATCACACAGCCTATGTATACAGTAGACTATACCACACAGATTTGTGAAAGTATACTCAGACCTTCACTCAATGATAAAATCACCTACTGATGCATTTCTCAGAATCTATTCCAAACATTAAATAATGTGTGACTATGTTTTACAATTCACCAAAACAGTTGGCTTCAATGTTACCTTTAAGAAATTTTTACTGCTTATTTCCTTTTTGAATAAAATAGCAATTGTACTTTATTTTTTAAAAGCCTTCTTAAAATCTTGTCTTATTCTGAAATTCACATTATACAAAATTTCCACTTAGCTCACAATTTAAAAAAATAACATTGAATGGCATTCATTTATTTATTTCTTTAGGAGGTAGGGCTCACTACGCAGCTCAGGCTGTCCTTACCCTCACTGTGTAGTTCAGGCTAGCCTCATACTGATGGTGATCCTCCTGCCTCAGCTTCCTGAGTGCTGCAATTAGCAGTGTGTTACCATGCCTGGCCCAAATGGTAATATTTGAGAAACACATAAAAGAAGATACAAGTTTCAAACAAAAACTCCCTGTAAATATTCTTTCACTGAGTTCATCAGCAATGTCTTAAACAATTTGCAACTGAGTTCAAACCACCCCCAGCTAATTTCACTGACAAAGCTAGTATCTCTTACACACATAAAAGGTGGAAATTAATTCTAAATGAAATGGTTCTATTTCATGATGTGTATGAAAGTCTAATCAATGTGTTTTTCAAAAGGAAAGCTTAAATATTAATTTTCACATAAAAATAAGTTTGTTCAATACCTATCTTCAAATAGATTAACATTTGAACAAGTTATCAACCTGATTTAAAACCCTGAATGTATAAAGGACATCCCATAAAAATTTTATTTAACACGAAAGTAAGTACAGCATGAGTTGTCCTCTTTATGGTTTCTTTATAATAACCTAGTATTTTCCTAGTTGGAAACTCACACATCTACACATAAAAACCTAAGTTGTACCATTTTCTGTTTAAGAAGCAGCTCGACCACTTGGGCTACTGTACTGCTGATGCTGACATGCAGGACTAAAGGACAACCCGAAGAAGACTTAAGCACTAAAATTATGGTTTGGTAGCCGCAGCCTGTCTTATTCTTCCCCATCTCCTACACATTAGAGCAAAATGAGGACTTTATCAATCCAATGTCCTAATTCTTCATGATGACTGCTTGATGCTGTTTTTCAAATAAATTGCAACAGAACTAAAATGAAGTATTAGTTATGACCTGATCCTTTCTACTAGCTATGGAATAAACTTAATTAAAGGACTTAAACTATCAGATTTAATGACATATTGATAACGCTGAAGCCAAGAGACTGAGAACTAAAGAAATGCCAAGCTACATTTAAGACCATAGGTACATTCAGGCTTTTGTTTAACAGCACTTAAGGGAATCTCCTCAGATTAAAAATGTATACAAGGGGCTGGGGGTTTAGCTCAGCGGCATAAGCACCTGCCTTGCAAGCAGGCGGTCGTGAGTTCGATCCCCGGTACCGATAAAAATGAAAAAGACAAAAAAAAAAAAAATAAAATAAAATAAAAATGTATACAAATTCTCTGCACCTCTTCCCTTAATTTTGAGGCTACCCTTGTTCTGACCAAAAGTAGAACCCTGCCACGGTCTGAACAACCCCCAAGAGAAAGAACTGAGGAGTCTGCCAACCTCAGGATCCTGTCTGTCACACTCAGCTCCTATCAACACCCGTGCTCTGTAGCTCCAGGAGTAAGCCCAGCCTTGCTCCCAACACCTTAGCATCTCCTAACCTGGAAACCAACAGGATTATGGGAACAAGACTTCGGTGTTCTGAGTCTCAGGCTGGGATACTTTATGACACATCCAAAACCTACTGTGTCAGACCAAACAGACTATATATTATCCTCCCAAAATACGTATCACTCCATTTCATATCCACATATCTATTTAATATTAGGATGTGATATTTTTATGTATAACCTCAGGTGTTTCTTCTAAATCAATACTTAAACCCATGAATACTTTTAATCATTTGTAATAAACTCAGCTCCATTTTCACATCATTCCCTGAGGGATTCTTCTGCTTCTCCACATTACGATGATTTTTTCTGTCCATCCAATGAATGCTTACAATATTTTATCTGGATCACTTAACTGGCACTTACTGTAACATACACTATCTTGGATTTTTTTTTAAAGTTTTAAGATGAAGCTGATTTACCTAACATCCAGGGCTTTGTTACATGTAGACAGGGATGAGCTTATCTTCTTTCCATGTTACCTTGCATTTTTAGAACCTTCTAAAATGCACATACAGCCAGGCACAGTGCCTATAACCCTATATATCAGGATCATATATTGGAGCCAGGCTGGAATATGTTTTGTTTCAAAACAAAACAGTAATTTAAAAAAGAAAATCCTGATATACCATTAAATCACTAGCTCCATTAGAGCAGGGAAACTACACAAGTACCTCTATCTCCTGTTAGAGAAAGGGATACTGTTGATTGGATTAGAAGTTTGCTCAATTTTAGAAATGCGGGGTGGGAGGAAGCATTAATCTGCCATAAAAATTCCTATTTCAAATGCTCCTTTCTATAGCACTAAATTTGTTGCCTGCATTTAATTTGTCTGGTGATTAGTACTTTATTATTGTTGCTGCTGAGACAGGGTCTTGCTATGCAGTTCAGGCTGATGATAAACTTCCTTCTTAGCTTAGGGTGGCCTGAAACTCATTGTAATCAGTCTGCCTCAGTCTTCAGAGTACTGGGAATATAATTATCCACCATCACACCTGGCTGGTTTATTAATACTTTACATATCAAGTAAGAGATGAGCAATGTAAATACATCCTGGAGTGAAAATTTCTATTTCAAAATATAAGCCCCCAAACAAGAGGAAAAAATGTATGTAAGTCAGAATGTAAAATTGTTGTAGATAACACATCCTTTTTAGTCATAATGTGCTTTCTGAGCTTCCGTTTTATAGAAGCCAACAAAAAAGTGTTGACTTAAACACAGAAAAGACTTACTTTTGGCCCATAGTTTTAAAGGTTTCAGTACTTGGTCACCTGGTCTGAGCCTGTGGTAAGTCTGTTTCAGCACACAGAGGGCAGGGAAAAAGGGAGAGGGAGAAAGAGAAAGAAGAGGGTGAAAGAGGGATGAGGAATGGGGGAAGGAGAGGGGGAGAAACACTGAGAAACAGAAAGGGGCTTGGGTCCCTATCTGCCCTGGAGGGCAAGACCTCCATGGTGTACCTACCTTCCACTAGGCCCTACTCCTATGTTCTCATCATCTCCCAGGACCAACACGGGGGTCAAACTCAGGACCTTCACACGTAGCAGGCAGGTGCTTGTGCAACTCAGCTATATCCCTAGCACTGGGCATCTAACTTCTTAACACATGAAGGAGACAGTGCAGACCCCAAAGTATAACAATGTGCATATAAAAATGATCTGCCAAGATATACACCTTTAATAGTACAGCAACTTGTATTTTTGAGAACTGAGGTTTTGAAAAAGTTAAATGCTCATTTTGGCTTTATTCTGAGTTGTTTTTTTGTTTTTTGTTTTTTTTGCATACATAAAGCTAGCTCTCCACATCCGTGGGTTCTATATTCAGATTCAACCAACTTTGAACAGAAGATAATTATGCCTTAAAATTTCATCTGTACTAAACATTTACTCTTTTTCCTGCCATTACTCCTTAAACAATATAACAACTATTTATATAGCATTTACATCTTATCACGTATTATAACCAATCCAGGGATGAAATAACAATCTACTGTAGGATGTAATACAAT